TTTTCTCTCACTAACTGTTTGTGACTCAACTGTTTCTCTTGGTTTTGTTGGGGTTTTTTTTTTTGCTGACCCCCAGTGAATTGGGAAGGTAGACAATATGCTTCAGCTGTGTGTGCACTCTGCTCTCCCCTTGTCTCTTGCTTCGTGTGACTTGTGCATGTAACTTGGATCTCAGACACTTTCCATGATGGTACCTGTAAATGGAGCTGAGCTGCTATTTGCCTTTTCTCTCAGAGCCAAGCCAAGAGCTATCACTTCACTGTCACCTTTAAACCATCTTTCCTGTACCTGAATCTAGCTAGTAAAATGGATGAGCCTCAGGTGGCTGCCCAGTGGGGATATACTTTAGTGAAAATGTAATCTGTGTAGGCCTCTGAAGAGTCAGTAACACTGTCCAAAAGCTTCTGTGCCGTGAGTGCCTTTGCCTGTAAACGTACTATTTTCTTGAGTTACAGAAGCAAGATGGACAGGGATTCTTGCTGGGTGGTTCTCTGGTGGGCTCTAGAGCTTGGAGATGTCATTATCCAGAAGCATTTAGTTATGAGGTGACCAAATGGGACAGCTGCTGCCATTGCTTTTCAGCATCTAGCATGCGGCAACACCAAATGCTGAGTAACACGGCCTGAGACCTGGAGCAGCGCTAGGCAGCAGGACTTTCCCAGCAGTGTTCCAAAGGAACAGGAACTAGTCAGCTAATGTTGGCTGTCTTCTGGGCAACAGATTAGGAAAGACTAACTCCCACTTATGAAGCACAAACTACACCACTGGGTTGTGTAACTAAACAGCCAGTCAGCTTGGGGGCAGTCTGCTTCCCATTTGTGCAGGACAGCTGAACCTGCCTGTAGTGCTTATACTATCTCAGCACACTTGCATGGTTGTCCTGTTGCTCCCAGCAGTTGAGGCAGTCTAGATATCAGAATGCTACATTGCTGCCTCTTCTGTTGCTACCGCCTTCTCATTTTCTGGTCCCTCTCGGTAGCTGGGAGTTCTTGGCTGACCTCAGGACCTGTAGCAAGGAAGGTATTCTCAGAGACTAGAACCCAGCACAAGTTCAGTGCTGGCAGGTTAAGCTAGTGCACCTAGATGGACAGATGGTAGCTGTGTAGATCTTTTAGAAGTGAGAGATGCAAACTTTTATGGCATAATATTGTGGTCTTTGGCAAATCGGTTCAGAATCAAACCACCTGCTAGTAGTGTGAAGATCAACAGCTGTGAAGAGACTTCTGAACAGGAAGACCCTGAACCTGGCATCTCCTGGCTGTGGGGCAGTGGGATAGCTTTGTGGACAGGAAACTGTTTTCTCTCCTTTGATCTGTGCTGCAAGAAGACTTGGGCTAGCAGAGTTGCCTTTGCAGTACTGAGGTGCTGCTGGCAGGCAGACCCAAGCATTGTGTTGCTGGCTATGACAGAAGGGTGCTCCTCTAATCTCTCTCCTCTTTGGGGAGAGGAGGGAGAGAATTCTTTCAAACAAGCTTCCTGAAATGTGATTTTTGTGGTGGTGAAACAAGGAAAGTCTGAGCCAAGAGGCTGCTGTCCCCTAAATCTCTCCCTGCCTCCCCATTTCCTGGACACCTGCGATGGCAACATGCTCTGTAGAGTAGTTTCTGCCTGCGCAGACTTTGATTGCACCAAGATACCAGGGCTGCAGCTTGCACTTGTTTAACTGTCTTGTGTTTTTAGCGGCAAACAGTCAATCGCCATCGACGACTGCACTTTCCACCAGTGCGTGAGGCTCAGCAAGTTTGATTCTGAGAGGAGCATCAGCTTCATTCCGCCAGATGGAGAGTTTGAGCTCATGAGGTACGGTGGTGAGGGATGAACAGGCAGGTGTTGACATCTGCTTGCTGCTACAGTAGTGTTGCTGCTGTCAGGCAGACTTGCAGCCCTTGAGCACCTAACAAATAGGCACTTGCCTTCTTTCTTTTCAGAGTGGAATCTGTAGGGTGTCCCACAAATCCTTCTGTTACAAATGTGGTAGAAGCTTAGCTGCATGGTTTTCTTTGCCACAGCCATGGTGTTGGATATGGGTTTCCTTACCCTTTAGCTTGCTGTATCTGGTTTTTTTTAGTGCTTAAAACTGGTGTCCTTGAACAGGGCCATTGGCAGGAACCAGGTATAAAACTTGGGACTCGATAAACCATCACTGCCCTAGAGCAGCACAGATCTTACTGCTGCTTCCTTCTGGGATGGCTCCATTTCTGGCTGATGTTTCTAAGCTGTTCCCTGTATGCAGAGGCTGTCTCTTTAGGAAGGTGGTACAATCTGAGACCCTAAGGGAGTTAACGCCTTCTCAGAGTTCACTGTTGCTTCCATTCCTGCAGATACCGAACCACTAAGGACATCATCCTTCCCTTCCGTGTGATTCCCCTGGTGCGGGAGGTGGGTCGGACCAAGCTGGAAGTGAAGGTGGTCATCAAATCAAATTTCAAACCTTCCTTGCTGGCCCAGAAGATAGAGGTAAGAGAATAAAAACCTGTGGTCTCCTGTGCCTGGGAATTGTGCCTCTACTTTACATCCCCTGCTATGGAGTCCTCACAGATGAGTCCTCAAGCTTGTACAGGACTAAAAGAGTGAACTGAATGCCCCACAGATGCGTGGTGCTGCTGTGCTGTGGAAGGGAACTGCCGTACAGTAGGGAGATGGAAGTTGTTTTCAGTTGCACAGACACCTTGGCAGAGGCCTCATTCCCAGCAGCAACTGTTCACTTAATGTCTTGGCCACTGTGAAAAGTTCACGTTCTTCTGTCTGCATGATCTGATGGTATGTCAGACAGGCAGCAGGCTATGGGCTGTGTAGGACAGGCTAAGGGTGGCTTCACAGCTTAGGTCACCTTCTGGGAAAGACTTACTGCTGCAAAGCTAGGCTGTCCAGAGCCTGGTGCAACTAGACCTCCCTGGCCAGCCTGGCATCCTTCCTGAGCTCATCTGCCTGACACTAGCCAGGTTTCCTGCAGCCTGAACTGAAGAGCTCTGCCCTGTTCCTCACTGACTGTGGATTCTGAAAATGTGTTCGAACCTTGACTTCAAAGTGAGAAACCGGAGAGCTAGCCTAGGATGCCTTGTGGTAGCTGATGCTCTCTGGGCCCTGAGGGGGGGGGGGAGAAGGCCAAGGGGTCCAGGACAGGCGGTCTTCCCCTGAGACTGCACAGAGTGCCCAGGCTGCAGTCTGCTTGCCCCTGCTCACCAGATTCTGCCTTCTAGGTCCGGATCCCAACGCCTCTGAATACCAGTGGAGTGCAAGTTATCTGTATGAAAGGGAAGGCAAAGTACAAGGCCAGTGAGAATGCCATTGTCTGGAAGTAAGTGTGTGTGTGTTGGGTCTGGGGTGCTGCAGGGGCAGGGCTTGGGGAAGCAGAGTCTGTTTAGTGCTCCTGTCTGCCCTGAGCACATGGAGTGAAGGGGAGAATAAACTCGGGCACCTCCTCACTTCTGGGCTTTCTCTGATAGGATAAAACGTATGGCTGGCATGAAGGAATCCCAGATCAGTGCGGAGATTGAACTGCTGCCCACCAATGACAAGAAGAAGTGGGCTCGGCCCCCGATCTCCATGAACTTTGAGGTGAGTCCTGTCTGCCTTCCAGGATGCAGCTAACCTTAGAGAAGCCTTGTCAGTCCAGTCCCTTCTACCCTCGCAGGAATTACACAGGTTTGAGTGCTCCCTGTCCCAAGCTGCCATGTGACTCTAACACGAGGCCAGCCAGGTGGCAAAGCTAATGGAAGAAAACTGCCCGTAAAGCCACTGGAGTCTGTCACTGCATGCAGGGAGGAGAACAGTGGCTCTTGGTGTCCATTTATAGATGCATAGCCAAGGGGTCCTCTGGCTTTTGTGTAGGGAGAGCATCTTATCCCTCTGTTCCAATGCTCTCTGTTGCCTTTCCCTTTCTCAATAGGTCCCGTTTGCGCCCTCTGGGCTGAAGGTGCGTTACCTGAAAGTCTTTGAGCCAAAGCTGAACTACAGTGACCATGATGTGATAAAATGGGTGAGGTACATCGGCAGGAGCGGGATCTACGAGACCAGATGCTAGCCCCAGCAGGCTGGCGGGCTCCCTCTTCTCCAAGCCATCCTCCGCCTCTCCTCGGTCTTCAAGTACATTCGGAAAAAACATCTGCCTGGCCCCTCTACGCAGATTGAAAGCCCCTGTGGCTCACCTTGGGAGTGGACTCGCCTGCCTGTGCTCAGTTACCACCCACGCTGCAGATGAAGTTCAGAATCCAGTCGCACGCAGGGGTGCGGTCAGCCTCCTGCTCCCTGTCCCAGGGTGGGGAAGGGCTAGTCTAACTCCCATCCTCTCGTGATCTTTCTAGGGAACGTCCACCATTAAACTCCTCTTCTGTTGGTGTCTCACTACTTGCATCATATCCTAGTATTTTTGAAGTTCTTGTGCATATGTACTCGTAGAATAGACCTAAACATAGACTGGACAAATCTGAGTTGAAGTTACCCTGGCTTCTGTACTAGCTATTGCTGTTGTGGTAGATGTTGCTGGCCAGTCTGAGATGCCCGGGGTGGCGAGTTTGTCGGGCTTCCACCAGGGGAGATGGTGGGCTCACCGGATCTCACCACCACCTTATATTTCTTGCAAAGTCGTCAGTATAGAGTCCTGCCGTGGGAAGGTTCGTGACCAAAAAGGATGCGGGTTTAGACTCTTGCTGGTGTGTATGTGGGTGGCACAGCATTTCGGGTCCTTAGAGCACTTACCCCCACCCACTGCTGGCTCGAGCCAGTCTGTCCTTTCCAAATAAATTGGAAACGTGGCCCCTCTGTCCCAGGGAGTGCGGGTCAGCTGAGCTCTGTCAGGATGTGAACAGGGTCTGTCCTCGGGAATCTAAAATGCAGTTGGCAGAAAGCCCCCTGCCCTAGCCCGCCCTCCCCACACTTCTACCAAACGCTTCTGGGCCATAGGAATGCTGCTGCTACCCACAATCCTGCTTCTGGTAGTGTGGTCTCCATTTTGTACACTTTGTGATTTGTCCAGCTCTGAATCTAATAAAGTATGTAGAATGGAGAAGGCTACCTGCGCTGCTGTTTGGGGCTTGTGGGGCGAGAGCCTGGGCCGGTGCCAGAGCGTCTCGGAGCTTGCTTTTGTCGCTTCCCCAGCCCTGGGCTGCCTGGGTGTTAGTAGGCGAAAAGAACGAGTGATGCTTTTGCTTCCAGCACTGCCAGTGCTCAATTCCAGCTGCTGCCGCCACTGCTGCAGCTCCCCGGAGGGAAAGGAGGGGGCTCCGGGAAAGGAGGGTGCTCTGGGCTTCCCCGCGGTGCTGGCTCACTAAAACCTGCAGCTGGGCTGCCCTGACCCTTGCTGCCCTCTTGGGTGAGGCGTGTCCCGCCCCCCGCAGGCCTGGCTTCTCTGCCCGAGCCTGCCCCAAGTGAACCCTGCCGGCTTTTCCCTGTGAGCAGCTGAAAAAAATCAAAGGAGTTCTTTCCCTTCCCACTTGGCTTTTGGAGGCCGGGGCCGAGGAGGTGGCTTCTCTGCCCGAGCCTGCCCCAAGTGAACCCTGCCGGCTTTTCCCTGTGAGCAGCTGAAAAAAATCAAAGGAGTTCTTTCCCTTCCCACTTGGCTTTTGGAGGCCGGGGCCGAGGAGG